GTGATATTATATCTCACTAATTCCTTGCTGCTTGTGAATCCTCTCATCATATTCAAAGCCCCAGAATGATTATAAAGAAATCCAACAACAAATATTACCCTTTCTAAAGTTTTTTTTATTTCAGAGATCTTTCCAATATCCTCCAACATTAAATCAATATAATGTGCTACACATGGAGTCCAAATATAAATTTTTTTTTTCAATTAATTGACCTGCTACAAAGGATAACAAAAATGATAAGACTTAGGAGTTTAATACATTTTTCATTTAATTGAAGACAAAATAATAAAAAAATTCAAAAGATGAATCTTACCAGCTAATACATAGTTGCTTCTGTTGTCGGTTATAACTTGGACGACATTTTGTTTACCAATTTCTTCCATGAACTTGTCAAGCAAATCATATATTTTTTTTTTAAATTTCACCAAAGATGATACATCTATTGACTTCACAAACATGGTTCCTAAAGAATAATTAACCATAAAATTAATTATACTCTTGTATTTCCTATCGGTCCAAGCATCTGACATAATAGAGCGACCACGTTTTACCCATGATTCTTTATGGTCATTTGAATAATCCAACTCTTTTTTTAACAATGGAACTCACATCTCATAATAATTTGGAGGTTTTAATCCCATACAATATCTTCCAATAACTTCAATCATCTCCTTAAAACTATCTAAATGAGTTGTACAAATGGGAAGGCCAACCTGATAGAAGAAACAAGCAATGTGCTAAATTGTTCTTCTCCTTATTTCTTTATCGTAAGCATCACTTATATTTGTTTGTCTTAATTTTAAGCCTCTTATTTGCCCTTGTTACTTCTATGATCCTTAATACGCATATAGGTCCGCACCCTTTTTACCCTTCTTAGTAACCATAACTTCTTTTCCTTTTATGTCGTGTACATTTTTCCCACTTGGGTTGACACTCTCAGAATAATCTTCTTCATCATCCCTAATATGTTCAACATTATCCTCTAGTAAAATTCCATAAGATTCATTCTTTTGCATCTTTTTTTTATTCATATAAGCTAGCAGCTCTTCTTTTACCTCAGGTGGACACTTCTTGCAAGCTGCTGCATTCTTGAAATTTTCTACTAGATGCTGCCTTGCATGAAAAATACCACCTCTAGTAGTCTTATCATAAAAGATGCAAGTAATTGCATTAGGATCTTTAGGATCCTTTAGATAATTATATTTCCGTGTAGGATCCTTTTTTGAATTCATTAAAGAATCTATTGAATTGCTTTATACACTTGTCATTGACCGTTGCTTTGAATTCATTAAAGAATCTATTGAATTCATTAAAGAACCAAGGCCTTAATTTCAAATAAATAAAGATTAGTAGTGTTAAAATCTAAATAGAATATTAGTAATCTAATAAATAAAAATTATTTTGATAGTAATTAATAATCTATTGTTAACATACTATTAACAATAGTAGGGAAGAGTAGAAACCGATAGTGAGAAGTCACAGTGAGAAGCTGAGTTGCAGACAGTAGGAGGCAGTAGAGTCGCAAAAAACAGAAGGCAGCAGGCAACAGCGGAAGCTGCAGAGTCACGGGTAGTAGGAGGCAGCGGACAACAGCAGCGGAGTCATGTCGTGAACAGCAACAAGCAGTGGACAACAATAGTGGCTGCAGACAGCAACGGAAGCTAAGGAGACTCAGTCGGCGACAAAGGAAGACTCTGAGGCAACGGGAGAAACTATCGACGGTGGAGGCAGAGGGAGAAATTGTTGGCGGCGAACGCAAAGGGAAAAACCTTCGACGGTGGAAATAGTGAGAGAAGCGTACGTAGGGTTTAGAGTCGGGGTCGCGCGCTGATATAACCGCGTGCGTTAGTTGGTTCAATCGAACCAACGAACGCAAATTTAACCGAACCAGACTTAAAAGTCTGGTTCGGTCACCTTATATGACCGGGCGCTCACCCAAAGTGCCCAAGCGACGCCTCTTTGAAACACACTACCTGGCCCTTAAACGAGGCGCTCAGGCCTCGCCTCACCTGAGCGCCTAAATAAACGCCCAAGCACCTTTTTAAATCATTGGTCTATAGTGGAGCCCATTGACAACTTCAAAACTACAATGTAGTAGACTACCAAAGAAATTACAAAATAATTGTGCCCTATAAAGCACACATCAAATAGAAACTTTTTGTAACATAAAAAGTTGAGAAATTTTAAGACGTGTCATAGAAATATTTTTGTTTGAATAAAAACAGAATTAACAGGTTATTATGAGGTATACTCTTAAGAATTGCACAATATTGAGGAAGTTACTTCGAAGTTGGTCACTGAATCAATAAGGTCTCAGCAGTTCTAGATAACAAATACTTAAATATTTCACTGCACCCAAACTGAAATAATAACACATGAATTAGAGTTGGATTATCCAATTAATAATAGATACAGATGATTTATATCAAGCACACATCAAGCAAATTATAGATGAATATTCAGGGCAGATCGTAATGAGAAAAGAAGCAAAAATACCATTAGGATTCCAAGTGAAGGCATCTTTGAAGCGCTGACCATCGATATCCAAATCCAAGCGAATGGGCACGAAATTCTCCGCCGTTGGCCTGCCAACAGCAATCAGAAACAAACACATCTCACGAGTGAGTGAATACAAGCGACGAAACAACAAGGGAAAAAAGAAGCCCACAAGCACAACACAATCTAAAAATTAACACAAATAGAAGGAATTCCTCTTAAAAATCGAGAATAGATAACAAACCGACCTCAACCAACTAGAAATCAAAGGAATGAAAGGAAAATAAAAATAAAAAGTGAAAAAAACGACAATCAAAGAAAAGAAATAAAATGAGGAAATCGAGAGGGAACTCGCATTCTAAATTTCATGGGGGCTTTGGAGGCGCCTGGATGGAAGGATCTCATCCCCTTCGTTCTTAAATCCGATCGAGCGGAAGAGGGACAGGAGTCCCGAACGGAGCAGCAGAACGCCGAGGGCTCCTTGTGGTACGATTCCCACGGACGGTGGTGATCGAGGGGGGCGTCAATATAGGCTGTTGATGGGTTGGGCCGGTTTGATCCAAATATGCCCATATTTTGTAGCCCGACATCAAAAAGACTGATATTAGATTTATGACGGCTCTTTGTGGGAACGCATGGCCAAGGGATGGTTGTTAAGCTAAAATCGAGCCATTCAATCAAAGTTCGTTATCCATGCTTGATTTGGACCCGTGGATCAAACGGTCAAACTATAGGTTTTATATGGAATTATTTTAAAATATATATTATAAATTTATATTATATATAATAATAATAATAATAAATAAATAAAAAATATATATAAGATTATTTTTGTAAAAAATACTTATATTTTGGGTTTTTTTTCAAATTATACCCTTTGGTTGTTTTCAAATATTGTTAATACAAAAGATATCCAAACTATCCCTCCTCTATCGTCACATCACTTATGTTGTCCGTCATCAACCCACAACCATCACCCTTTGTTCTCATCGCGAGGCCTCATTATCAATGTATAAGGTAGGAGGTGGAAAGAAAAGGGAATGAAACATGGAAGGGAGAGAAGATAATGAGGAAGGGGAAAAGGCGAGCGTTGAGGAAGGAGAGAAGAGGATAGGCGACGGGGAAGGAAAGGAGAGGAGGAGGAGAGGGCGAGTAGCCAGAAGAGAAGGAGAGTGCGAGCAATAGGAAAGGAGGCGAGAGGAGAAAAAGAGGACAGGGGATGGGAAAAAAGAGGGGAGGAGGAGGAGATGGAAGGGAGAGGGGCGGATTGACCGTCGGCAATGATGATGGAGGGCTAATTTAGGTAGTTTTTGAATTAGGGATACTATTTAAGAAAAATCAAAAGAGAGCATATTGTTTGGAAAATACTCAAAATATGAGTATTTTCTAAGAAAATCACCTGGATACATATAATTAATGATGACGTATTAGACATATGGATTGATCAACTTAACATTTATGTTAATACATTTGATTACAACAATAAGGATAAGATGATGTGTATATGACTAAAGTTAACCAGAGATGCGATCACAAAGTGAAAAGCCTATTATTAAACCAACGACAATGAAGATGTGTCATGGATATGATTTAAAAGGCTCATATGAGAAAAATTTTATCCTATGAAATATCTCAAAAAAAAGGAGGAAGTAGCACTACTTACGTCAAAGAAATAACCAATTTGTATAAGAGTTCATCACCGAATATTGATGACAAGTGATAATGCTCAGAATCTTCCTCGATGATTACTTTGGTGATGAAACCTGCCTTCAAGCTCTATGCACAAATTCATATAGAGTTGAGCCTATTTAAAGTATATGATATTTTAATCGCTAATAATATGGCAATGACAATTTAGAAAAAGATTCACACTTGTAATGGGAAGCCCACAAAAACGACCAAAGAGACACTTAAAGGCACAAAAGAATTTCAAAGATGATAAAACTTAGTGATATTTTTTGTGAACAATATAAATTTATAGATTACTCCACAGAAAGTATTAGAAAGTTTAACTCAAACTCTTCCTAAAAAAGTGGTTGATGAATGACCAAGTCAGTGAACCATCGCCACTGCCATAGACGATGACTACATTGAACTTTTATTGGTTTCTTACATAGATTTGAGGCTATCGCTAATGGGTAGATCAAATGTTATAAACCCGAGTCTGACCCCCGATCTAAAGGTTAGAGAAGTACTCTTCACTATAAATACCAAGTGTAAAAAGAACCTTATATTGACGAGCTTAGTCAAGAAGCTCAACCTGGATATGACACTACATCTGTGCCCATATCCTCTTGGTTAGCTTCATAGTGATATGGAGACAAAGAGTGACCAATGATAGAAGATACATTTCACATTTACAAAGGAATTGATTAATGAGATGACATGCGAAATGGTCCACTTAAAATATACTAGGTCGTCTTGAGAGCCCCTACTTTTAGGATTGAGATATCATTTGCTTTCATTGAGTTTAGAAATAATAACTTCAAAAGAATGAATGAAAGTTCCTCATCACTTGAGCCATCCATGTTAAATTTTATATTTTGATAATGAAACCAATTGATAATGTTATGATCTAATTTACGTTTTGAGTGACGCAGGACTAGCTTCGATCAGGAGAGACAAATTGATTGAAGTAGAAGGAATCAGATGTTGGGCCGGAGTTGAATATGCCAAGAGATTAGATGTCGAGTCAGAGGATCAATCCACGTGTCATTAGAAGGCTTCGTGCCATAAATTCGAGCATCGAGCCAAAAAGATTGGGCATTGCGCCAAGGAGATCCGATGTTGCGAGAAAGCAATATGCTGATTAGGCAATACGCCGAAGGAGAGGATGATGCGCTGAAGGGTCAGACGAAGCGTCAGATGAACCAATTATTGAATCTTGGATTTTGATGATGAAATCAATTGATGTGTTTGTGATCTAATGAGCATTTTGAGTAACGCAGGGTGATAAAAAAAGGCAAATTGATTAAAGCAGGAGGAATCGGACGTTGGGTCGGAGCAAACATATCAGAAAATTGGACGTCAGGCCGGAGGAACGGTCGACATAAAGCTTCGGGTCATAAATTCGGGCATCAGCCCAAGAAGATCGAACATTGCGCCAAGAAGATCGGATGTTGCGAGAAGACAACATGCCGATTGGGCAATACATGGAAGGAGAGGATGATGCGTCGAAGGATCGGATGAAGCGACGGATGAACCAATGACATGCTGGGTAACAAGGATTCGCTTATAATCGATTATGTCTAGATCAAGTTAGTTTATAGTCTAATTAAGTTGGTTTAAAATGTAATTAAGCCAACTTAATTAGGGGCCAATTGGGCCCAAGTTTGGACTATTTTTGGCAAGTGAAAGGTCCAAACAGTGACCAAATAGGTGAAACCATCATGGCACAATCTCCAAGACTATGTCAGGCGGTGGTATCGCCCAAACATAGTCTCCGAGAGACTGTTAAGTAGTGGCACCACCAAATTGGGTGGTGGTACGGCCCAGTGTTAGGGTGTCAGGTGGTGGTACCGTTAGACTAGGCTGTGGTACCGCCCAATGTTAGTGTCAAACTAGCACTAGCGGTGGTATCACCCAGTACTGGTGGTGGTACTACCAGTACCCCGAAGACCCGGGATGAGATATTTTTAAGCTCCAAGTTTGAATCAACTTGAGGCCTATAAATACCCTTCTCATCCCTAGTTAAAAAACATAAGAATTGAGAGTGAAAAAGAGAGAAAACGCTATTATAATCTTGTGTGAACTCCTCTCAAACTCTAAGTGTTTAGAATTCTGTTTAGGGAGGAGTAAGTGGGGGTATAAAGGTTCTCTTTTGAGCCCACAAAAGGAGAATAGAATTGTAAAGAGGTGGTTGGTATTCTCCTATTAAAGGAAGACCGTTAGTGGATGCCGGTGGCCTCAACGGAAAGGGAATTGGTGGAGTAGATATAGGTCATGACAATCGAACTACTATAATTTGGTTTGCATTTATGTTTTGCTATTTACCATAACTACAAACTGCCTTACTTGCTTTACATCCACTACACTCTTTCGTATGCTTTCAACTTAACATCTTCCGAAATGGGTTTAATCGTAATGAGATTTTGAACCTATGTAATTTTATCCGCTGCACTAATTCACTCCCCCCTCTTAGTACCGACTCATTCCTAACAGTTAGTATCAGAGCCGTGTTATTTCTTATTTGGTTTAACACCCAAGAGAAATGACTCTTTTCGTCTTTCAAGAGGGCTTTTCAATCATTCGTCCTCCCATGTTCAATAGTACAGACTACACTTATTGGAAAACTCGTATGAGAGTTTTCTTGCTTTCTATGGATTTAAATTTATGGAATATTATGGAAAGCAATTTCCAAAAGTCTTCTACTCCAATGAACAAATGGAATGATTTGGAGAAAAAACTTTTTCTTTAAATACTAGAGCTATGAATGTTCTATTTTGCACCTTAGACAAAAATGAATTCAATCGGGTTTCTACTTGCGAAATGACTTTTGATATTTGGCACACTCTTGAAATCACATACGAAGGCACTAGTAGAGTTAAAGATTCGAAGATTAATATTTTGATGCATAATTTTGAATTGTTTCAAATGGAACCAAGTGAGACTATTGGAGACATATACACCATTTTTATGAATGTTG